ACAAATTCCATTCTCTTATCTTTTTTTTTTGACAACATTTCCTTCTTCTTTATAGTCCTTCCTTATATATATAATGATATATTAACTTTAATATGGGTGTTTGTATGTTATCATTTTATACACACTATATATACTTACATAATATTATACTCGTTTTAATTTCCACTCGTACACCCACTTTATATAATATATACCAATTAAAAGAACCAAAAAAAAAAAAAAAATAGAAAGAAAAATTCCTTTTTTTCATTTCGTCTCTTGTTATTGTGTTTTTGTTTTTTTTTCTCAGCTATCTTCAATTTACTCTTCTCGTTCTTCACTATCCATTTCTTCCTCCGTTCAAATTTCACATCACACTTTTTTCTGGTAATTTTTAATATTAAACAAAATTTTTCCACCATATAGCTCATTTTCTTTTAAATTTCTCATGATTTAAATTTTATAAAGAGAATTATAAAAACAAGAGACATTTTTTATTCATTTATAACACCCAACACAACAGCAGCTTATTAAATGAGTACGTCTGTCTGTACCTGTTCAACTGAATGCAATCTCATATAATATTATAGTTAATAAAATGAATATAAGAGTTGAGAAAAATAATAAAAAAAAAAAAATGTAATTGGACATTATGCATTGTTAGAGAGGACGAGAGAGAACATTATATGGGGGGAATCATAAGAGGGAAAAAAACTATATTTATACTTAAAATGTAATTGAAATTTTATTAAAAAAATTTTTCACATATTTTTTATTTGAAATTGGTTTTTTAAATGAAAACAATTCAAGTATAAATGCGTATTTTTTGTATAAGTTTTAATTCTTATTGAAATATAAACTAAGGACTAAGTGGTATTTTTCAAATGTATGAGTAAGGGTCTCAAATTTGAAGTCGACTTTAAAGTATACTAGAATAGTTAAGTTTAGAAAAATTTTCCTAAAATATACTTGAATACTGAGAAAAAGTTCATGCACTATGTACAATATTGTCATATTAAGAAAAGATTAAAATCAAGTTTTTCTGTCAACAAGTTTAAAATGATGGGTGCGTATATACGTATGTTAGTATTCTTTGAGTGCAACTTATTCTCTGAATTGTAGGATTTTTTAATTGAACTCAGAATTTTATATCTTGCATATATAAGGTGGTTTAGCATAAAGTGGCAAATAATTTCAGGGATGATTCTTTGATCAATTTCCAGCAAAGAATTGTATGGGTGGGAGGGAAAATATGAAATATGTACATTTTTCGCTTATTTTTAAGCACATTTAACATGTTTTACTGACAAAACTATGAGAGATAGAGGAAAATGTTGTATGGGTTAACGTTTAGATCTCATTGTACCGCAACGAACAAAAAAATAATAACACAAAAATTTCGAGAAATTTCGAATTTAAAAAAAAAAACAAAAAAAACTTCTGACTTTGGCGAGCTGTATCTCGAAAACTATAGCTCAAATCAAATTGATTGTAAGACGGGAAATCAATTTCTTGTAAAGCAAAGCCCCTTGTAATAGTAACTCCATGCCGTGTAGTTCCGAAATTATAACCGTTTATTTATCAGGAAAAATCTAGCAACTTTTTTTTAACCGACTCAAAAATGTGTCATCTATGTATGTGACCCCCTATATATAAAATTTTCGTCTGGAAATTGATCAAAGAATTATTCCTGTTATTATTTTTCACTTTATGTGAAACACCTTGTATGAACTAAATTGAGTTACGAATAATTGTGGTAGAATCTATATTAAATACTTTACGATTGTGTTTAAAAACTGAATTGTTACGATATAGGGTAACAATTCCGATATGGACAATAGAAACGGAATATAACACTTAAAATAAGAAAAGGAATATGTACTTAAAATAATTACAGATTTAATAATTTTAATAATTCGTGTTTGTTGCGATCAATAACAAATAATCAAAGCAAAAATCATATTCAAGATTTTGAACGGCATATTCAATAGTCTCGGCTATGACGGCGCATTAAAACAATTGAACAAAATCAAAAATTTTTTTTAATCTCGAAATTACTATTTATTTTTTTTTTTTTTAATACATAAATCATTTTTTACACAAAGAAAACTTTGTTTTGTTTTTTATATTTTCCAATATCGTTTCGTGAAATTTCTTTATAGTTTCCATAGAACTTTTTTATACCTTTGACATTTTTCTGTTTCTGTTTTTCAAAGTTAAAAATAAAAAGACCATCTATATATAGTCATAGCTTATAAATATTAAAATATGAACATAGATACACACTTATTATGACGCAGTCTTATAAGATCTAAGAATATTGAAATTTTTTATTTTTGTTTTTAAGTACAGACCGACGACAAAAATTAAGGACTTAAAAAAAAAAATAAAACAAACAAGAGTGTATAGAAATGAAATTGAAACCCATAGAAAGGTAGAAAATAAGAAAAGAAGAGAAAAAATAACAATAGAAATTACACGATACAAGCAGAGTGATCGGGTGGTAAAGAGAGTGAGAGAGAGAGGGAGGAAAGGAAAGAAAAAAGGATATTTGAAGAAAATGAAAATCAAAGAATGTTTAAGGAAAAAAAACAAGTGAAGAAGAACATGAGAGGTGTAATAAAAGAAAAGGAATGAGATTTTCACTTATTTTCGTTTTTTCACATTTTGCGGTAAAATTTTTAATTCATTAAATTTCACTAGCTTCTATATTTATACTTGTAAATTTTAAAAAGGAATTATATACGATTCGGCTCCTATACTCTCTATAATCTCACTCCTCCCCTATAATCATCCTGTTTTTTTTTCTTATTTATTTTCTACTTTATTTTGTTTCACTTGATTTTAGTAAAGACCATGAAAGAAAGCAAAAAAAAAACAGAAGAAAAATGAAAAAAAGTTTATTAAAGGATAAGCTTTTAGAGCAAGAAGTTCTTTTTTTATATTTTAGCATTTCCTCACTATTTTTCTCACTTTTAGAAGAAAAAAAAAGAGAAAAGTGATGGCACGGCGGTGATAGGAACTGGTGATATTCAACAATTTTTATACTCTCTTTACACCGTGTGTTGCCGTTTTTAGAAAGATGACTCACTTTGTTCGGGAATTTTTTTAAAATTTTTCTTTTGGGTATACTACTTCTATTATTGGAGGTTCCCTTTTCATTTTAGGAATTTCCAATTCTTAAGTATATTTCACATAATTTTTTATTTGTATGTTAATGTATGTGTGTGTGGGTGTGTAAAAATGTATAAATGAATTTCCAAGAATTTTTATTTTGTTTATAATTTTTTCTTATTTTCATTTTCCAATTTCTACTTTTGATTCTCTGTTTTTTTTTTTTTTCATTTCAAAAATGGATGGAAAGATTAAACAAAATTAATTTTTAAGATTTCTCTATTTTGTTGCTGTTGTTGTTTTTATTATTTTTCGTTCACTCCTGTTCGACGTAGGATCTTTTCGTCTTTTTCTTCGTGTTCTTGCTTATTTTTTGTTTTTGTTCAGCAAAATCATGTAATCGATTAAGTTAATGGAATTATTTTTCTTTAAAGAAGTTTCAATACAGTATATTATTAAATTATACGTGTATGTATACTTATATTTTAATATTAATATACTAGTATTTCAAGTATATGATGTATGTATGTATATATATATATATATATAGAGACTGAATTTATAATAAAAAGTAAAAAAATTCTTACTTACATAATATTTAAAGAGATTAAAAGATGGAAAATTATTTTTATTGATTATAAAATAAAATTGAATTAATATTACCAGATGTATATGAAAATTTTTAAAGGACAACGACATTAGGAGGCTATTTATATACAATATAAATTTTGGAATATAAAATTGTTTAAAATTTTATATACTTTTATGAAGTATAAAATGTTCAACTTTGGAGTTGAAGTATAATTGTTAAAAGTACAGATGTTATTGAATTGTATGTATAAATTGTTAAGAGTATAAATGTTATACTTTTATAAAGTCCCGTGCAAAAGTTATTGAGCACAGAATAGCATTCTACCTAAAGGGGTCGCTCTTTAAAATTAAAACCTTGCCAGCTCTGAAAAAAATATTTTTAAAATTTTAAATATTTTGACTAAATCGTTCTATATAACAGTTTTAATTTTGTTATATTAAATAAATTTTAAACTATTATCTTAGACATATTAGTGTCCAATATAAAATAACAATATAAAATCTGATTGAGGATCATCATATAGGACTCATTTTATTGAAATACATATATGCATACTCAAATCTATATTTGTTGTTATATTATAATCATTTTGATCCCTGTTAATTCTTAACCCATATATAGGTAGTTCTCTTATCTTGCATTAGTATCCTGGTTCTGTTGAATTTGGAAATGGTGCCAGAGCAAATTAAAATTTTTGCATTTTTTGTTATTTATTCCCTTTATCGATCATTATTTATTAACATTGTATATATATATGTATATTAGATATATATTTATAGTCAATCAGTAAAAAAACAATTTTCTGGTCTAAAATATAAAAATCCACTGAATTTGCTTCAACAATTTAAATTTAATGTCAATTTAATGTCATATTCAATAATACCAACGATATGTTGTAAAAATTATAGTAAACTGTCAAACTTTTCTATATGTTATTTAGAAGTGGATACTAAAAGATGGCGCTAACATAAAATTTTCATCATTATGTCGAAATAGTTATAAATATAAAGTTTTATAATTACAATATTAACGAAAGAATCAAAATAAATGGTTGGCATGTATACGAATTATTTTTTTGATTCACTGTATCATCGCATATTGTATATACACGTACATACTTTAATATATATACATATTAACGTCTTTAATAATAAATAAAAATATTTATTTTTATTTTTCAAAAGAAAATTTAATAATAAAAAATTATTTTCATTTTTTTTCTAAATTAAATTTCCTTTTATAAGTTACAAAATATTATTTATGTCTTATATATATAATACTCACTTACATATATATTATATATATTTTTTTTCAGTATGTTTGGATGCTCTGGCACATGTTCAGGTTGTGGTCAAACAATTCCTCCAAATGAATTGGTGGCCAAAGCGGTGTCACCATTAAATCAACAAACAACGAATCTAGATAACCAAAAAAGTAGTCAAAGCAATTTATTAGTATTTCATTTGAAATGCTTTTTGTGTACGAAATGTGGAGCACATCTAAGACCTGGTGATAGGTAAGTCAATTACGCTAATGAAAAAAAAAATTTTTTTTCAAGTATAGTTTGTTTTTTTTTTGTTGTCATTTTATTTTCAATTTTTATTTTTTTTTTTTTCAATATAATATTTATACAATACCTATACATACATACATACATATGTGCTATGTATGTATAACGAAAAAAAAAAAAATTATAGTCATATTAAATAGAGACAGATACAATGATTGCAAAAATTGTAAGTAAAAAGCTAATATGATAAATTGAAAAATCCTTTGAAAAAAAAAATAACAAAAACAAGAAGATGAGAAAAAAAGAGAGAGGAAAAAGTTTTGATTTTTTTTTTCTGTTCTCTCAATTTTTTTTTTTTTTCTATTTATTTTATTTTTGCTAAATTGCTAAAATTTTTACTTTTAGTTTTTCCAAATAATTTTTTTTATATATAGAGAGGAGAGAGGAAAGAAAAGTACAAAATAATAGTGGTTATATGAAAAGAGAAAAAGAGATAGAGAGAGAGTGAGAGTAAAAAGGATCTCAAATTTATTAGCACTTTTTATGATTGCAAAGGATAATTTATGGGAATTTATGTTTTTTTGAAAAGAAAACGAAAAAAAAAAAAAAAACGTTATCCTTTTCCTTTGATTTTTGGAAAATTTTCATGAATTTTTTTTTTTTTTTATTTTTTGTCGTCATTTCCAATTCAATCATTACGAAAATCTATAATATGATTTTTTTTTTGTATAAAAATATATGTATGTATGCACATATATAAAAATGCACCTTTATAAATTTCATTTATACATACATACATACATACATACCTATGTGTATAAAATAAATATGAGATAAATTTATTTTTTTGTAATAATTTCATGGACAATTTCATCGTCGTTCCTCAGAGATTTACGTTATATATATGTATGTATAATTTATGAATAGAATATATAAGTGGAAAATCTTATATATATATATATATATATATATATATGTATGCTATTCATACATTAAATGTATAAAAATTGAATTTTTCATTTGATTTTTTTATTAAAATCTTATTCACATATCTAAATGTACATAAATTTATTTTTGGCTCACCACATATACATACATAAGTATGCATATGTGTTTAGTATAAATATTATGAATTAAATATATAATTACGGTTATGGTGTCATCAAAAGAAGCATATAGCTATACGACTTGGTTTCCTTTATGATGATGATGAAAAGGGAAAAAAATTGCCTTTTCATTTTTATTTTTCTAATCTTTTCAAGACAATTTAGCAAATTACAATAATTTATTTAATTGAAATGTACAAAAATGCATTCAATTTTCAATTTTCTAGAAATTTTTTTAGTTTTTCTTCTAAATCAAGAAAAGTTTTTTTTTTTTGTTAAATAAATTTTATTTTTGGATATTTTTGATATTGAATTCATTTCAAAATTCATTTGAATTCATTTTTGTGAATTTCATTTGAAAATTTTGAAACCTAGTTATTAAATATTTATAAAATTTTTTTTAAAATAAAGGAAATAAATTGAATTATGATTTAAAATCAAAGTTATTATTGTTGAATTTTTGATTATTTTGTACGATTATTAATTTTAGAAAATATTTTTGGATTATAGTTAATTAAAATAGTTCGTGATTTAATAATTTTGAAATTTATTTTGAATTTATTGAAAATTAATAATTTATTTTGTTACTTTCTACTTGTTGACTAATTTTAAAATTCCTAAAATTGGTCGAAATTCAAAGATTTTCAATAAATATTATTTTAATTTTAAATTGATATTGTGCAACACGAGTCCGCAATCAAATCAAATTATAAGTTGGAAAAAATGTGCAATTGCGAAAAATAATACAAAAAAATTGCAACCGAAATAATTAGTTAAAAAATTAAAAAAAAAAAGGAAGAAGGGCTCTTCCTTTTTTTTTTTTTCATTGAAGGAAGGAGGAAAGCATGAATGCTACTAACATGCCATTCCCTGTCAACCCATAGTTAGTTATGTGTTTTACCACAAAAACCTCCTCCTCCTATTCTGATACTAGTCCCCTTAGACCAACCATCACATTTTCTATAATAAAGATTGAAAGATATTTAACGCTTAACGATTTGGTAAAGGGCATTCTACGCTAAATCAAAAGGCAAAGTCCTCTTTAGCCTTCTAGGAGAATCCCAGATAATAAGAAGCCGAGAGGCCTCTACGTTGATATGTTGCCCCAGACGAGCTCTATGTCTCACCGCCCTTTCTTTAATTTCGTCAACCAACTCATGGAATCCCTAGATCCCTGTGCGAATCTCCGTTTCGCACATACCAAGGGGCATCCATCATATTCCGCAAAACCCTATTCTAGAACGTTTGTGAACAACTGGATACCATACAACCAAACCGGTTTAATAATTTGGTTATAGACCAGGATCTTATTCTGTATCGGCAATCTTGACTTGCGACCCAGGAGTCAATATATTTCTTCATATTTTAATTCTAATTTTGCCTTTTTCTTTTTAATATGTTTTTTCCATTTTAGCTTAACATCCAGTGTCATTTCTAGATATTTCGCCGCATTTCCTGCGTAACATTTACCCATTTAAATTAACACGTGGGGGGTTCACAAGAACTTTATTTGTAAAATATACTTGTGTAGACTTAGTTTCATTAACTTTTATTTTCCATTTCTTGGTCCTAGCATCAAAGGTATTGCTTGTCTGCTGCAACTTTCTTGTGGTGTCGTCAATATTTGATGCTATATACTGCCATAATTGCGGTATCGTCAGCATATGTAGCCAAAATTGTATTTGTGGCTCCTCCTATTTAATTCACCTTTTTTTTGTCATTTGTAGTATATTACAGAACTAATTGCCAAAAATTTTCTGGAAGAAAATTTCTAAGTTTCTCCGATTAGCTTCCCAGCCAATACAACTTATGATTTCAAAATTTGCTACAACTTTCGAATCGAACAGGTTTTTTCAAAATGTTTTTGTAGAAACCGCCGCGCATACAGTGATACAAAATTTTTGTTTCATTCTTATATACAATACCCGCATATATGTATAGATTTTTTACACCTAAAGTAATAAAAATATTAGCTTTTTACTTAAAATTGTCTAGTACATGAGTTTAACTGACCAGATTTTCTATTATTTATTAAATAATTTCAAATATTAAAAATATTTATTTATTTAATTTGAATTTTTTTTTTTTCTAATATAGATATACAATGCTAGCTGGTAGTCTTGTATGTGAACAAGATTGGCATAAAATAATTAAAAATAATCCTGGTAATGGTGGTGCTGTAGGCGGTGGCCCTGGTGGTGCAAGTGGTAGTACAACAACAACAAATGGAACAACTGCAGCTGTTAGAAAAGGGAAAGTAGGACGGCCTAGACGTACAAAAGAGTGAATGTTATTATTATTATCATTATTATTATTATTCTTATTATTATTATTAATAGTTGATAGAATACTTACAAAAAAAAAAGAAAGAGAAAACAAAAAAATAAATTTATTAATATAAATATTTCAAATTAAAAATCACACACACACATACACACATTTAAAGTAAATAATAATTATAAAAATAAAAAATTGAAAAAATGAAATACATAAAATGAAAACAACGACAAAATAAATGAATAAAAAATAATTTTAATACGCAACACATTAAAAAAAAAAAAAAATTAAATATGAAAAAAAAAAAGTGAATTAAATTATAATGGTCAGGAAATCTGTGATGTTGTTTGTCCTGAGCCTCCTATTTAATATTTATATATGTATGTATGTAATAATATTAATATAATAAATACAAAGATTATTCTATACAATTATTATATACACATAAAATATGATTGCATATTAATAAAAGAAAATAGAACAAATAAAATTTTTTCCAAAACAAAAGAAAAGTAAAAAAAATAAAAACCAAACACAAAAAAAAACACACACACTCTCATATTTTTAATTAATTTAAAAATAAAACAAACACTCAAAATCTATATAACGAAAATTTTTACATAAATGAAACAAAAAAGCAACAAATTCAGCTTCAGAACAGCAATAAAATTAACAAAAAAAAACAAATTAAATTACATTTAAAATAATGAAATCTATCTAGTCTTGTAATTCAATGAAAACAAACACATATAAATTATAAAAATACAAAAAAAAAAATAAAACAATACAAAAAACAGCGCCACCGCTCCAATACAAAACAAAGAAAAAATGCAAATTAAAGCGAAGTTGAATTTTTTTTTTTTAGTTTCGTTAAATTTTCGTTGCATTTTCCTTTCCTAAATCAGTTCAAAAACTGCAATATCTGACAAGACTCTTTCCAGTTTTTCCATAAAAACAAAATAAATAAGTTTTGAATTACAAACAAAAAAAAAACCGTCTGAAATGTAAAACTAAATATTTTCATTCGTTAAATTTAAGTTCGTTAAATTTTTCAGTATTTTCTTTGCATGTGACAAAGCTACTTACATAACATAATTTTATAAAATTTTAAAATTCATGAGTTACAGATTCCGTATAGAATTCAAAAATTAATTTTTCGTTCAGTTCATGAACTTCATCGTTAAGTTTCGTTAAGTTTTTTTCTTTTCTGGTAGAAACAATAGAAACGTAAAAATAATCTAAAAATACTTAACAATTTTAATAAATCATTAATTACGGATCACAATTACTAATTTATTGAATCAATTTACGATTTTACTAATTTTGTGGATCAAATTACATTGTTATATTGGAAAATCTGTTGAAATATTCAGTACAATTCCGTTTTATTGCAACTATCCCATAATATTAGCTACCCCATATTCTTCCTTTTCTTTTAAATATGAAGTATTTATTGTATTTGTAAGAAGTATGTTTTATTTTTTGCCTCAATCAAAAAAAAATAATAACCTTTCTTTTTTCTTAAGTATAGCTAGCTAGCAAGCCGCCACCGAGCCAAATATAAAAAAAAATATTAATAATATATAAAAAAAATTAAAAATAAAATAAAAATAAAGAATAATTTATGTATATTATTAAAAATAACGAAAAAAATTTAAGAAAAAATCAAATTGTCAACTTTTTTTATTAAAGATGACAAACATAAAAATAATTCAAATTATTTAAATTCACACATTTAACATATATAAACACACATCAATACATGCAACATTGCAAATAAAGAGAAAAGAACAAATTGTTAATTGAAACAATTAAAATTAATTAGAATAAATTAAAAAAAAAAATTATAATAATAAAATAAAATATTAACTGTAAATAATATTAAATAAAAAAATAAAAAGAAAAAATTGTAAAATTATAAATTTATATTGAAAATATTGAAAAAGAAAAAAAAATTAAACATTTTTAAGAAAATAAAAGAAAAAATCAAAAAAAAAAATTCAAACATTAAAGGTTGATAAAAATGTTAAAAAAGTAAAAAAAAAAATATTATTATAATAGCGCTAAATAAGATTTATAAGAATTTTCAATTCAAATTAAAAATTTTCAAATTGCTTGAATTTTAAATATTTAATTATCTGTCACATTCGACTTCCCTACCGGAGAAAATTGATATTAAAATCAATTCGAAACAGAATTTTTTTTTCCAATCAACACAAAATATACTTTAATAGAATAGTTAAACAAAAATTATCATTTATTTCGGAGTTAAATTGTAGAATTCGGAATTGTCATTACAATTCAAATATCAATTCCGAATTAGGCTTGAATAAAGAACTTGGAATCAATTTCAATATCATCGGAACGAATGTTTCGGCTTATAGTATTATAAAGTAGGAGTGAATATGTTTTACTATATTCCGAAATTTAGTAAAACATATTTTATCAATTTTTTCGGAGTTGCAAACAAAAAAAGTTCGGAGTTGAAATTCGACATACATATATATTATAATAGAAGTAGAAACGTTTCGAATCAAATATTCGGAGTCTTAATTTCAATGTTTAAATATAACAATAATAAATATTAAGCGTGAAAGTTCGTATTCAAAGTTAAACACGATTCCGATTCCGAAACCTTATAATCAATAATTGCTTTATTTATAATTTCATTTAGTCAGAAACAAAAGATATTTTACAAATTTACTTACACACAATCATAAATAATTTTTGTATTATTATTTCCGTAAAACTTTCAAAGTCTATAATTAATATTTCATTATAAAATATTGGAACTAAATAATTAAATTAAATTTATTTGAAAAAATTTAGATTTTTAATAAAACTCTTTAATACTTGCAATTTTTTCTGTTTGAATTGAATTTTCTTATAAAATTTAAAACAAAAAAAAAAAGAAAAATGCAATAATGTAAAAATAAAAGAACACAAGAAAATTAATAGTACATTTTTAATTTTTGAAATTTTTGAGCTATAAAAGAAGAATTACGAGTACCAAAATTACAGTTTTTACAACATTTTTATATTTAAAGATTAAAAAAAAATAATTCAAATAATTCAAGCTACTAAAATATAGAATAATTTAAAATTTAGTACTAAAATTTATGACAATCTTTTAGTACTTTATGATTTTATAGTACTTATGTATATGAAAAAAATACTTATCGGATATTATTACTAAAATATTATTTTTTTTTTTTAAATTTGGTAACACTTTGATAATTTTATCATTACATTTTTTTTTTTGTATTAAAAATTTATGAATTAAAAATTAAAATTTTAATTTTTATCGAATATAAAAAACTGTAAAAGTACTTAAAAATATATTTGTATAAAATTAGTGAAATATAATAATGTCATTTTTATAATTTTAGCACATTTCTAAAAAAATTTTTGAAAAAAAAGTACTTATTTAAATACAAAATTGGTTTTTCTTTATCGTAATAGTACTATTTTTTTTGCAGTAATTTTATAGTACTTTTATTTTATATAATATTTTTGTAATGTAAATATGAAATTTTTTTAACATTAAAATTAAAATTATAACATAAAGTACTTTTGTTGGGAAAATGTACTTTATTTACCAAAAGTACTTTATTTTCTTTTTTAGCTCAAGAATTTTTCTAAAAAATTGAATGCAATTATAAATTAAAAATTGTAAGCAATTTCTTAAGTATATTACGCATATATTGTATATATATATATATATATATATATATATACAAATTAAGAAATTATAAATTTATATTGTGTGCGTACGCAAAAATATACACAAGTAAAAAGAAAAAGTGAAATTTTCGTAAAATTTATTCATATGAAAATTAAAATAAAATAAATTAAAAAACTGATTATTAATAATGAAATTCAGTATAAAATTTTTTTTTTTTTAGTAATTATTTAATTTGTTAATTAGGTTTATTAAAATTTTGAAAAAATCTTTCATTTTTTTTTTTAATTTGTAATTTTTATTTTTATTTTTTTTCATACTTTATACTTTTGTATCAAATAAATTAATTTAATATTAATAAATTTAATTTAATTTAATTTTTTTTTTCATTTTTTTTTTTTCTCAAACTGTTATTTAGTTCATTCTTTTATATTTAAATTTACAATTTGTATAAAACAATTTTTTTTTTTTGTAACATTTAATAGTTTTTTTTAATTCATATTATATGAAATGATTATATATAGGAGAGGAAGTATTTACATAAATAATATATATATATATATATATATATAGTTATTTTATATTATGTATGTAATTTTGTAATTAAAAAAAAAATTAAAGAAAATAACAAAAAAAAAAAGCAGCAAGAAAAATATACAATAATTAGGACAAAGAAAAAGAAAAATTAACCATGACAAATTTTCTTAAATTCTTCATTTTTTTTTTTCTTTTGGATTATAATTTATTTAATTAAAAATTATTTACAATTCTTATAAATTTATCATTGGAAAATGTATGACTTCTTTATCGCGAATTATATTGCAGAATGAAAATTCAATACTATAAACCTTATTATGATCGAATCGAATGGACGAGGCGAATGGACGAATGATATTTTAAATTCTTTTATTCGCCAGATTCAAAATGTTGCTATCGCATGACATTAGAAAACCTACCGAAAATAATAAGGTTAACACCACACTTATCCGCAAATTCTTTAACGTCAAAATTTTGTTTTCAGTCTGCAAACTGTCTGACGTATAAAACTTTTACTGACAGAAATATAGTAAACTTTTTACCCGTAATTGACTTTGAATTTTGATCATTCGTAAACGTCAAAACAAAAAAAAAAAATTTTTTTTTAGATTTAAAATAATTTTATACTTACATATTAAAAATTAACAAAAAAAATATTTTTTATATTATTTTTAACGCAATGATAGTCACTCAATACATCAAATTTATTTACTGAATTACTACGTCAGACTGTCTGCATGTAAAAAAAAAAAAATCTACAATTTTGACGCTTAATTGACTTTTTTTAAACGTTTAAGAATTTAAGCTTTGACTGAAAGTAAAAACGCAGTAGAGTATTCGTAAACTCAGACAACTCAGATTTTGTAAAATTTGACGTTTAAGAATTTACCATATGTATGTACATTGTTGAATTTTAATTGAATTGAACTTTCCTATTCCTTTTAGCAATTACGGGATTGTTGTCCATTGATTTATTTAAATGCTTGAATTGTTTTTGGTTCATTTTTTTGTCACTCTTAAATATTAAACAATTAATATTTTTTTTTAACAATAATTTATAGAATTTTATGAACTTATTTTACAGATGGTTTAGATCTTAAATTGAACTGCCATCTACAATAGAATTATAAAACTATAATTAATTTCTTTGTAAATCACATTTTTTAATTATTTACAATTTTTTTTTTTTAATTAAATGATAGGAAAAATTTACTATTCAAAGGAAAAATATTGTAATGGTTCCATTTGAAACCATTTGAATTAACATAATCCTGTATGTTTTTTCTAATTTTATATCTAAAATATTAAAAATTTAATTAAACTAAATGATCTTTTCATAAACACAATAAAT